GCTCAGATAATGCAAATCCATCCAGCCCCATGCATGAAACATCTGTTAGTTGAAAACATGGCCACCAAGAACATCCAGAATCCCAGTTCTCATCTTTCCATCTGAAACCTGGTCAGAGAACAGAAGGTGGGGACTACACAGGAAAGCAGCAAGCTGGTATCATGGTGAATCGTCCTCCTGGCAGGGCTGTGGTCACACAGTAATTATCTATCTAGTTTGAGCAGTGACCGGCTCTTGCAGCATCACCCTGTGAATTGGTCCTATCAGATGCTCGCTTTCTGAGAATTATCGGATTGATCTGGCAAATATGTAGGAGTGCAATCTGGTGGCGCTGGCTCTGCTCGAGGGAAGTCTCATAAATCTGATGCTTGCAGGCAATTCATTCTTGGCTTTTATCCTTTTCATTTTCTTTCGTGTCTTTGTGGGAGAAAAAGAAGACTGGATACATCGGTGCAGGTTCATCTGGATGAATAGGTACTTTGAACCATCTCTTGGCTTCTTGATCTCGTGTCAAATGTGAAGACTCATTGTTGAAGAACAAATTGCTACTTGGTGTAGTGGTGCTTACTGTATGAAAAAGAAAAAAAACAACCAAGAGATGTGAATCTTTGAACTTGATTGAACTGATTCAAAAAGAAGGTTTATATTTGCTATGGTACAGAGAAGATGTTGGTTTCTGTAAGTGATGCTTTGTGAAGCCTGTGTTAATCAAGAGGCACTTGCACTGTGTGACAAGAGGATGATCTGAGGCGAAGCTGAGATAGTTGATAGGTTTTAGCAGTAATGATTTGGAGGTTGTTCTGTTGATTTCATGGCTACAATAAGCAGGTATTGATGGAATCTGATGGATAGAGCTATCGATTGTTGTTGAGATACACACTAGAAATCTGTTCCTGAGCAAATCTAGTGGTGATCAGTGCATTCAAATCTGCATGTGAAAAGTCAACGATTAATTATCACTGAAGTATTAAGCTCAAATGGATCTCAGAGCACACAAAGATCGGCCGATCAAACATCGAACATGCGTTTGCTGCAGGTCAACCGGTTTCACTCATATCGGGGCATACTTATTTTTATTGGATATGAAATCAATAGATGAGTTGATGTTTTTATTAGATAAGAATGCTCAGGTGTTAAGTAGATATGTTTACACAGCAGCAGCAAAAGAAGTCTTTTCGTACCATATGAGCTTCAAAATGTATTTTGGTTTGGTTTAGATAAGAAGGCTTTTTGCACCTACAATTAGATCTAATGATCCCTTATAAAATCACACCTACAATTAGCAAAAGAAGGCTTTGGTTTAGATAAGAGTTATCTTTTTCAGTGTGGGTTGCAAATTGTAGGTGTGATTTTATAAGGGATCATTTGGTCGGTTGCTAGGCTCGCGAGGAATTGTTCATTTTGACTAAGGGCATTCCCATACGGTTTTATCTTTTCATACCATATGAGCTTCAAAATGTATTTTCGAGGATAAGGGAGACGTATTTTCGAGGATAAGGGAGACCCAGTGGATTTATGAGTTAATGGTTCCCGTACTACTCAATGAAACTAAATGGTCTTTATCAACACCTAAAGAAGTTTAGAGTGGATATCAATCTAATAATATTGTATATACTCATATTCCAAATGAAAAAAAATAAATTAGATGATAAAAGATAAACATATATATTTGTAAGTTGTAGTGATAATTCAAAAACTTTTCGGCTTTATAATCTCATTACTGAGAAAATCATAATTAGTAGAGATGTTATTTTTTTTATAAAGAAAATACTTGTAAGTGGACTACTTTCCAATTGACATGATAAATGCATGTGAACAACAAATAGAAAAATAAAATGAGCAGCCAAAGTATAATGGAAGGAGATTCATCCTCAATGAGAGCTTCTACTAGAGAACCAATTTTAAATAAATCTATAACTTTAATATCTCCTACAACTTTTAAAAGAGTAAAATGATTACTCTTCAGCTCGATACACCTTGATATATCGTCCGGTACACCGGTATCGTACCATATCAAGTCCGGATCGAAACGTCGGTACAATACGGTACAGTGAACCTTGATAAAGAGGACGGCTAATTAGACATAGATAAGTTGGTGTTTGGATAAGGATGGTTAGGTGTTAACTAGATAAGTTTGTACAGCTGCAATTGGAGTCGACAGTATTAAAAGAAGTCAACTTTGGTTTAGATAAGAGTTATTATACTCGGTTGCAAATTGTACTTGTGATTAGGTCGGTTTAAGCAAGCCATGGCATACATGTGAGAGAGTCAGGTTGTGTTTGTAGTACTTGTGACAAGCCATGGCATACATGTGAGAGAGTTGTATGATGCCTCTCTCCTATTGATCCATTCCATTACTAATATTTGAGAGATCTTTTCCTAACAAGCCGTCGTGATGAGTGATGCCATCTCTTCCTCTCTGGCGTACAGGGAAGAGATGAGCACACCCTGTCTCAAGGCATGATCCTCCGATGGTGGGGTGTTTACATGTTAGATTGTGTCCAGCTACGAGAGGATAATACGCCAACGAGAGGCCCCTATCGTGTTCCCTTTTGATGGACCAGCAAAACCATATGATACAAAGGGGTATGAGGTTGACTCTTCTTGATGATCCATCGTGTTTATATTCATGATATACTTAATGTTGTTATTTTGATATCGTTGATTATTAGTTGATAAGACTTGGTTCGATCCTGAAAGTATAAACTCATCCCAGGGGCTCACGAAAGGAGATTGGAACATAGAACAGACTCGACTGACAACGATCTTAATGTGTTATTTATTCTTCAAAGACGAATATGATCTCGTGTTTATAGTCATGATATACTTAGCTACACATAGTAGTAGAACAGGTTGTCAGGTTTATTCTGACATAACAAGGAAAAAAAGATTTGATGAATTTTAACAAGTTAATAAGTCAATTATTCTATCAAATTAATTTATAATAAAATTATAAAATTAACATACTATCGAGATATTTATTGCTTGAATGCTCACAAAAAAAAAAAAAAAAAAAACTCAATCAGACCTACAACTTTGGCCCCGAATAATAATATTTTCTTTGTTCATAAAATATTTATTTATTTTTATGATAAATAACACAAAGAATAAATTGACCATAGAGAAGGCTGAATAAACAAAGCCTAATTATTCTCTTTCCTCTTATTTTTATGGGTTTGAATGCAGCTTCTGAATTCTAATCTAATCATAATCAAATTTAAATTACCTTCCAATAACATGAATAACTCAAATGCCAATTGACCACTTGTCAAAATGTTGTCACCATGTACTCAACTCCCAAAACACTAGAAAGCTAGTGGGAAAGCTTCTCCTCACACACCCTCTCTCATCTTTACAAATGAGGTGGAAAGAAACAAGGGACCCTATCTGTTCTCTCTCATGTGCCAATGGAACAAAGCCATGTTATGATGGTCCAAAGATGGACCACACATGTCAGATCGAAGGACAATAGGTTAATTAAAGATGGATCAAGAAATAGGTCTTTGGCAGGTCTGCTATGTATGCAATGACAAGATATATTATTGCCTCATGTTGACTCTGCAGAGCCTACAAATTCATGATAATGCTCTCATTTGATCTTAGAAACCGATGCAATCCCTCTCATCTGGGACTCCTTGGCAGTGCCAAACCATGAGGTGATCATCTTCACGAAAGCAACATAGGGTTAAATGATGATCGCTGCTTGGCTCCTACCGACATGCAGTGTTTCTACAACTGAATTGAGTGCAGTTCTTGACAGTGCAAATTGAGCCTTGTTTCCGCTGCTCAGCCATGTTACCCTCGACTCTGAAGAATCAATATTCTTCAGCAGTTTGTCATCCCTGACTCATCAATATCTTTCGAGGTCTATGCATGGATAAGAACAGTGCAATCACTGCATCCCCAACAATTATCACTGCGTTCCGCAGGCATGCACCTTCTGCCTTGAGACCCGAGGGGGGTTGCAGTCATGCATCATGCATCGGTTGCTGTCGTGGATGTTAATGCCGACGAGTAGTTCCTGCGTATGTCCATTCTCCATGAACAGCGAGGACAGAGGTAGCGCACCATCGTCGTCCCAGCACAGTGCCGAACGTGGCCTGTCGCCGCCTTGGCCACCACCACCACCACTCTCACCCTCCTCTTCGTTTTTACGTCTCCTCCCTCTCACTGCACTTCCTCCTCGACCACTACCTGTCTCTCACACCAAAGGACACAAAGTCTTGTATTCGATATATAAACGTAGTATATGCAACGATGACGATGACAAAACGGTGCTATGCAAACTATTTGGGATTGATTATAATCCATATTTAAATTAAAAAAAATGTTCAAATTATTTATAACATTTTATTTTAGGGGGTTGAAATTGGAGGCATTGAACAATCGTGCAATTACGTTGGGTAATCTCTGCTCTACGTCGGTGATCGAGCGCGGTGGGAGCCACAAGTCCCGGCCAGGTAGGACGCACGAGGAACCGGGGGGTGTGTGGGACCCGACGCTCGAGGACCGTTGGCCCGTGACTCCTGACCTTTTTGCGAGGATCGGCTCTTCGACCCGCGGCAGCAACCGCGTCTTCTGTCTAGCTCGTTGGTAAATATGAGTGGGTCCTACGGTACCCGCCAATCATTCACCAAAGCTTTTGGGCACTTCGAAAGCTGTCGGCTCTCTCTCTCTCTCTCTGCGGCTCTCTGTGACTCTGGCAAATACATCTGCTCAATGCGTCGCTCGCTCTGCGATCAGCGCTCCGTGCACTGGAGGAATCAAAATACCATCAGCGTAGAAATCTCTTTCTCACTTCTCCTTCTTTTCCTCCTTTCCTTGCAATGCCAGTGTCGTGGATCTCTTCCGTCGGTGTCGGAATCGAAGTTATTTGCTCTTTTCTTTTTTGTTTTTTTCGGGAAAAGTTTCTTTTATGCTGTTACAGACGAGAAATCAGTTTGGCGTCTTCCCGAATCATGCAGTTAACCTCCCTTTCTGATAGCAAGGATGAGTTTTAGATCGGTGCATTCATGTATCGGTAGTCTTGGATCCGATTTGAGTCTGCTGGCGGATGGCGTTCTTTTGGTTTGAATAACATTCTGCGGGCATCGTTTTCTTTCTCCCTATTTCGACATTCTCGCCTGCTGCTGCCAAAAAACCCGCCTTTGCATTTTTTATTCTCGGGAGAAGGTCGCAAGTATTTCAAGTGTTTGTTTGAATCTATAAAAAACTGGAATTTCTCTCCCTTTTGGTCCATGTAACTCTGTGATCCTTTTTTTTCTATGATGATCCGTGGTTTCCTGAATGCCACCTCTTTGTTCTTCTTTAAAAGAGAAAATTTTTTTCGATATTCTGCCAAAAGATCTTTGCTTCTTTGAAGTAACAAAATTCCCTCTTTTTTTCTCCAGTTGACAGAGATCGTGCTTGTTAGGTTGATCGCGAGATGTCGAAGTCAGGGGCGTTGGATCTTGCTACAGGAGTAGGAGGGAAGATCAAGAAGGAAGATGTGCAGTCTGCTGTCGAGCAGTATAATTTCTTCACTCCTCTTATGCGTATGGCTTGGGATGTCTGTGTTGGAAGTCACGCTTCCGATTCATTTCTGCTTCCCGACCCAAGACATGTGAAAGAGCATTTGGTTGAACTACATTAGATCATGATTTCGGCTCATAGAGCATCTCATCAATGCTGCCTTTAAGATGCTAGATTTGTTAGATGGTCCCCTTTACTCTGTAGGAATATGTCATCTTCATCTTCATATCACTTGCTTCTGCATGACGTTACCCGATTAAACAGATGTATAAACAAAAAACTAGAAGCAAAAAGAAGGACCGGGTAAAAGAATTGATTTGCATCGTCTCAGCATGAGATGTTCTTGGAGGTAGTAGATGATATTCTTTTCCTGAATGTCATCCTCGTAATTTGTAGGTTTTCCCCATCTATTAGCTGATTGTTTTTTCTTTTAATTCTATTGGTAATCCCTTTTTGCTATTTATAATCTCATTTAGAAAATATTATTTACAACCCTCTCATTTTTAAAATTTTTAATATTTCAAAGTTATTCTTTATAAATGGACATAAATACCTTTTTCTTCTTTCTCCTCTTCTTCCTTCTTCCCCTCAACTTGTTCCTCCTTCTCCAAGGACAGTGTTGAGGGGGCAACAAGTGGGATCAGATGGGTAAGCCTTTTTTCGAGGTGGGGGGTGAGGGGGCAACAGGCGGGATCAATGATAGGGAGCATGGGCTATGGGGTGGTAGGAAGCTGACGATCGACGGGGAGTGCAGGCTAAGGGGTGACAGGAAGTATTGGCTGGGGGGTGGTGATCCATGGCAGGGAGCACAGACGGGGGACTGTAGGGAGCACAGGCTCAGGGCGGTGATCGATGGCAGGGAGCACGGGTTGGGGGAGTGTCGGCAGCGGCTGGGTGCACGGGTGACAATCGTAGAGTAACGGGGAAGGAAAATAAAACAAAGGGGTAAAATCAGAATTAGTGGGATTGTAAATAGTAAAATATTATTTTATTAAATTTTTAAAGGATTGTGAATAGTAACAAAGTTGTAAAAGGGATTCTAAATAGTAAGCTCCTCCCATTTTAAGAACTCTTAATATTGTGAAAATATCCTTTTGCAAGGACGTAAATGGCATCAACTTATAACTTAATCCCAACCCTCTTCCAACTCCTCCTATACAACCCATTTTTCTACCCCTTCTTCTTCTTCTTCTTCTTCTTCTTCTAATTGTTGGCGATGGTCGAATGGGGCGTAACCAGGGTTCCAATGCGGTGCTTGTGAGGATGATTGATCAGCGAATGAAATGTGTTGTATGAAGTAATGATAATTGAGGGGTTGTGAGAAATCAGATACTGTTGGTAATTGAGGGGTTGTATTTAGTAAAATTTTATTTTATTTTAATTTTAGGTGGTTGTATGAAGTAAGGGGTTGCCAATGGCAATCTCCTTTTTTTTACAATATTTGAAAAGAAATTGTTTTTTTGATGTTACATTATTTAATTTTTTGCCCAAACTGTTCTGACCATGACCACGGTATTAAGTACAGAATAGAACTTTGGTGGTCAGACAAAAAAAATACCATCTGGAACCATCATCCTGAAACAGTCAACAAGGATCAGAGAGCTGGTAGCCAAGTCCTCTATTGACCAAACACAATTGTGACACTGCCTTCTAGAAATACTTTCACCCTATCCCATTTGGTGTTCATCATGCACTTAGATATGTTCACTTTGTTATGGTATTACAACTCTAAGAACTTCCAACTATGGTGACCAACCTAGATTGCAATGATCATAGATGAGACCCAAGTTCTCTTACCATGCATCATATGTTACACGTTGACAGATTCATTTATGCATTTTAGATTTGAAAACTTCGAATCTATTACCCCAGTAGAGTTGAACCATATGTTATAGAAAACATGCACTCGTGAGGTTCAATTGGCTGTTCTAGGTGACTGCCAAATGATTTGATGTCATCTAGCAGCAACTAATACCAGTTGTAGTGGAGGTCTAAATTATCCCTTCATTACCAATATCTGAACCCTATGAGACTGTTATGCTTATGTTGGTATTGTAGAAACGTCAGTATTTAGATTCACACTACTTAAAGATATCATCATATTAAAGTATGTATTGGATTAATGCCATTATCCATATGCAGGCATATTTTGGATTAAATTCTATTAACACAAATCATGGTGTTCCAATTTATTTACAGGCCTAGTAAATAAAAGGGCTTTGGTTCCATCCATCTGGAGTGCATTTATTTAGTAACTAAATGACCTATATGTAGTTTGACATTTGTTGCTCATTTTAACCATCTATGACCTATTTTGGTTTTCTTATTTAGCAAGTGTCCACATTTAACAAATATATGTCTAGTTGTACTTTATTTGCTTTTCTGAAAGACAACTTTCTTTATTCCTGTCCAAGATTTAGCATGTTTTAGTCATGATCCCTTCAGAAACTTTCACTATCTTGGCTGTGGACTAAGGATAGCCCCATGCATTTGGTGGCATCTTCAAATTTCTTTTTGAATTTGAACTAGATGTTGACTGTTAGTTTTAATTCCATAAGACAATATATCCTCTGCGTACTTAATTTTAATTACCAGTTATAATTCTTTACTTACCTCATCTAATATGATGCTTAACACTAATATATGCATAGTTGATCCATCTGTTGTGCATGAGAAAAATATAGCAACAACACTTGAAGCAAAATGTAGTGTTCGTTTCTTTCTCAATTAGCTTATATTTGCTCCATATTGAGCAGTTTTTTCACAATAATTTTGGTCATGTCCGGTCTTCTGATTGTTTTTGGATTAAGTTGCAGACTCATTGATATATCTTCAATGTCTTGCTGTGCTAGGTATGAAAAATATCATGTTTGTTTTGGAGGGGGTGAGGAAACAAGAAAAGCAAACTACAGTGATATGGTAAGTTATTGGTAGAATTAACTGTGCAGCATAAAAGTAACTACTGCAATATAAGGCATGCAACATTTCTGTCTGCAACTTTTACAAAGTTTTCAGCTTATTCATGCTTTTGCCAGTATTATTGGCCAGAATTAGGATAAATTTATACACAGTACCGATCTCATATTTTAGCATATCTGCTCATCCTTTGTAATATTAAATCTATTTGGAATTTTGAACCTGTAATTGGGTATAATTTTTCAAGAATTATTGCAGCATCTGTGTGACATTTCTAGGGGAAATGGAAGAAACATGTGATTGGTTGCGGCATCATATTGGTTAGATTTACAAGATAATATTATATAGTGTCCTAATTTATGGTTTGGAAAAATCGAAGGTGAGGCTCAAGTTTGTCTACATTTGGTCAAGTGCTCATAAGGTTGATGTATCCCAAAATTAGTTAGGTTAGTTTTAGTTTTAGGAATACGATCAAGTGGAGATTGTGGGTTCCTGATCAGCTGTTTCAGTTTTGATGATGTTTCTGGAGCACAATACAGCTCCACATGATCCCTGTTGCATCTACAATTGTGAAAGGAAATGCAGATTATGATAAAATCATTTCTAAGTGTCATGGATTTATCTTGCAAAGTTTAGACAACTACTATCCTTTTAGAGCTAACCTGTGAACATAGTTGTAGTCTGCATAGTTAACAGTCCAATATGCCTGCTTTTGGGTTTACAGTTATTTCTTCTGAGCATTCAATGGAAAGAGCTGTTCATTTCCTAGTTTTTAGGAGAAAATATTTAATTTTGTTATTAGAGATAAATGGATTTTCTGTAGGACATGCTGAATGATTTAGACAGTTCTTGCTTCCAGACAGGAAGCATACCTGATTCTGTAGTTTGTAATCCATTCTAGTTATTCAGTGCCAGTAGATGTATAGTTTATTTATCAAAAATAAAATCTGTCACTTTACCATACTTATTGTCTAGACTCTGGAAATCTGTGATAATTCATTATTTTCATTTTGTAATTCAGGTAAATAAGTATTATGATCTTGCCACAAGCTTCTATGAATTTGGTTGGGGAGAATCATTTCACTTTGCTCCCAGGTAAGCTTCAGCCATTTTATTGTTGAATTAAATTCATGCGTATTTCTGATGATGCAGGAGGGAAAAAAAAAAAATCAAAGTTGACTATACATCCTGGATAATTTCATGCTTTCATCATATAACACATACTGATTTTAAGTTTCATTTCTGAAGATGGAAAGGGGAGTCATTGCGTGAAAGCATTAAGCGGCATGAACACTTTCTTGCCTTGCAACTAGGGTTGAAACCTGGAATGAAGGTATCAATTGGGTCTTTTGTTATATTTGGATCTATTTGAACAATTTGTCATGCAGCATACTGTCTCCATTCATGTATGGAATATTGCTTGAAATGTAGGTGTTGGATGTTGGTTGTGGAATTGGTGGACCCCTACGAGAAATTGCCAGATTTAGGTTTCTTCAAAATTCTTTTGTTCAAATTTTCTGAATATTGCAATTATATTTTTGAAGCAACCTCAGATTCTAGCTGGTTTATCCACATTTGAAGCATGTCTATTTTTTGAAGCATTTATGATCAATCAATTACTTTCTAGGTGGGCATCCAAAAGTCATTGCAAATCCCTGAAAATCTAATTATACGGATTTCTCCATTTATTGTCTGAAACTGTTTGTTAGTTCTTAGACTCTAGCATTTTGGATATAATATTTTGCACAGAAATTGACTATTAATCAACAAAAATGGAAGTTTACCTGAATTTCTTGTTTTTTTATGCTTCATGCGCATCGGACTTGTACCTATGCTTGTTTTTGTGTGTTTGCAAATACTTTGTGATATTTAAGTTTATTTGATAACTTGTTTGTATGTTTGCAAATGCCTTCTGTGTTTTTCTTTAAGGTTATTTCACCCTGATAAGACCAAAGAAATAAGTAGATATAGCAGGAAAATTATATGAGTGCCACATCTTTTGCACTTCCTACGATGATTTATTTGGTTTAGAGGAAATGCCTGAGGTGATAGATACTGAGCCAACAACAACAAGCCATAAGGTGCTAATTGTTCGGGGCTGGTTATATGGACTTGCTGCTACTTTGTCCTTTATCTACAAGTAAAACCAGTTATTGCATCTAAGTAAAAGGCCATATTGCAGATTGCAAGTGTGTCTGGCGGCAGCAACAGAAAAGCCTGCTTACTCAAGTTTTTGGTCTATTAGATTGAAACCTTTACACCTCACGTACTCGGTTGATTGGATTTATGTACCTCACGGTTGATACGGTTGGCTTGATGTCATGACATGATATGCTTGGATCTTTGCAGCTCAACATCAATTACTGGATTAAACAACAATGAGTACCAGATTTCAAGGGGAAGAGTGAGCTTTCTTTCTATCTCTGCTTATGATGATAACCATTAAGTCCACAATTTTGCAATTTACTTTGCAGGGACTTGTTACCTTCTGTTATGATATAATTATCTGAAAAAAGTGACTCCATTTCTTAATCATTTTTCCATCAATTATCATTCTACAGGAGCTCAACCGTGTAGCAGGATTGTCTGAGTCATGCAACTTTGTTAAGGTCTGTTTCAATCCATATTTTGGATTTATAGCTTATTCTGTTGTTTTTCTTTCTTTCTTTCTTATACTAGAATTTCTATGATTGTGTTTGCTACGATTCTAAAACACGACTATAGATGTGGTGTTACACAATGCATGCATGTTAAGAAGTGTGTTGTTACACATGCAGGCCGACTTCATGAAAATGCCATTTCCGGATAACTCATTTGATGGTATCTACGCGATAGAAGCAACTTGCCATGCTCCCGATGCGGTATTGCTCTGTTTAGATGCTTCTCTCACCTATTAAGGTGTTCTGATATCTATAAAGTCACGAGTGATGTTGGAACTGTGAGCTGAGCAGGTTGGCTGCTACAAGGAGATCTACAGGGTGCTGAAGCCTGGTCAGCGTTTTGCAGTATACGAATGGTGCATGACCGATCATTTCGATCCCGATAACGAAAGCCACCAAAAGACCAAAGCCGAAATTGAGCTTGGAAATGGCCTTCCTGATATAAGAACTACAAAACAATGCCTTGATGCCTTGAAGCTTGCAGGATTTGAGGTAACAAAAGAGAACAGCATGCCCTTTCATCAATTCTGTACAAACCCTGCGTGCCACAGGCTTATACGCTGATCAATGTCGTCATTTAAGGTCATATCCGAGAAGGATCTTGCAGCGGATTCGCCTGTATCTTGGTACTTGCCATTGGACACAAGTCAGTTCTCGATAACTAGCTTCCGCTTGACATCATTTGGGCGATTCATCACGCGAACCATGGTATGGAAGATTTGTTGGTTGCGATGCGAGATGCTTGCTCTGGTGGGTTCTAATGTCGACCGTTGCTGCTTCATTGTGCAGGTCAAGACACTGGAATTTGTTGGCATTGCTCCTGCAGGAAGCAACAGAGTCTCATCGTTCCTGGAAAAGGCTGCTGAGGGGCTCGTTGAAGGTGGAAGGTGAGGAAATCCAAGCCCAAACAAAGCAGATTCAACAAGCTTTCACATGTACAGCATTTCTTATTGAGTTGGCATTCTTGCAGGAAGGAGATCTTTACACCCATGTGCTTCTTCTTGGTTCGCAAGCCTCTCTCAGAATCTTGAGACGCATGAGATGTATTTGCTAGCTTGCTTGGTGGCCGAAGACATTGTCATTGATTAGTGGATTGACTGTCGAACACAGAAACATCTCGATTGTTACATTCTTTGGATGTTTATCTTGAAGATCTTAGAATGTGTTGCCAGAATCAATGTTCTGCTTAAGTATTATTAGCCATCTCCACCTTCATCAGTAATCAAGACTCCTGCATTCTGCTTCCAGCAGAACAAGCATCTTCCTAACTTCTTCCAGCATAGATCAACCAGATGATGAAATCATCCAAATATGACTCTCTCTCTCTCTC